TTAGTATCAGCAATAATTTCCAGTACTGCCTGGATAATTGCGTATTATTAGTTGACATCAGACATATCCCTGTACAGGATTTTTTGAACAATGTCTCAAATTTCCGAAAGAATACTCAAATAAGTTGGGATGAATATGAATTGAATATCCATCTTTTGAAAAATCAGCTAAACAGTTTACCACCACGATTATGGTGAACTGGCGAGTTATCAACGAAGACGACCGGACGTCTCCGGTCAAGAGCTGGCTGGTTCGAATTTATCCACTTTTACAGTGATGAATATTGCGTTCGAGTTGAGTTACTAGTAATTACAAGCCTGATTTACATTTTTCTCGTGGTGTTTTTCGTCAATGTATTAAATATAAGTGCGTTGGGAAATAGCATATTTATATTGCTTGAGTGAAAGAGGCTGGTGAGACTGTGTCACAACGCGTTCTATTTATTTCCAACGCGCGTGGTCGGCGCCTCTGATTGCGTTTATTTTGTATTTTTATTTTCGAAATGTATCACTGGCTGCGTTTTTTTTGTTATGTCTCGCAACTGAACGTCCAAGCTGACCTTGTTTTGGCTGTAATGTTAATAGTTGGTGGCATTGGCGTCAAAATATAATTCACAGTCGAAATAAAGATAGTGTCAACTAAAAATTAAATTAGCAATTTCGTCGAGTTTTAAGGCTTTGCTCATAAATGCAAAATGAAAAATAAGCAAGAAAAGTTGCTATGAAAACGAAACTAATTAGCGTGCATCTCAGTTCTTCGAAACTACTAGAATTATCGTGGAAAAACAAAATAATAGGTTTGACAAACGTTGATGAAAAGTATTACAAAATTGCTACCATTAAAATATTTGCCTGGGTTTCAATGAATCTTAGAAGGCACCAATTTAATTGTAGGTGACGACTACAAACAATGTTGCAGCACAACACAGAGTAATCATGTGCATTCATTACATATGCTCTGCCTTGTTATAATACGAGGTGATTACGGGGATACTGCAACGTATGCACGAAGACAGTACGGAGGAAGTATCGACCGATGCACGGCGGAGGTCGATGCGACCGCGAACTGTATGAGTGCATACTTTGCAGTATGATCGTAATAACCTTATTATTATACATCTTTTCCTCACAGGAAATCCTAAACGTTTAGAACAGATTTAGCGAACTTCTTTGTGTAGGGTCCGGTCAAACTCTGGGGGCAGCCATGTTTGTTTGTTATTATTAGAGGACGCTTACGCGCGTAATCGTTCCATATTTGGAATTCGCGTTTCCCTAATATGGTAGGATGAAAATACCCAGTACAATACCTCAAAATTACTGCACGGCGTCACGGTGACAGATAATACATGATATGAATATTTATCTTTTAAAAATGTTTCAATTATGCAACTCTCATGGCGCCATAATTATATATATATATTATAAATACATGTATTCAATTTACTCGAGATTTAACGTTTACAGTCTCTGTTACCTAAATGCAGTGGTTGTCACATACCAGTATATCATTTACGTAAACAGAGTCACTGCGAATAATAATTCGTAAAACTCACCTAAAATAAGGAATGGCATCGATGCTACAACATTAATAAAAGGTACACCACAGTAGCTCATCAGTCCGAGAGAGGAGACAATAGCCAGCCCAGCAGACAAGACGCCAAGCTGACCCAACATCGGATTACTTCGCACCCAGTCTGCCATGATGCAGCACACAATGGAGAACGTTATCAATAACGTAAATGTAATGGTAAAGAGAGGAAATACACTAGTAATGCTTGCTTCCAACTCTAGTTCAAGTGTCTGTGAGGTGTAGTAGGCCACATCAATATTGTCCGATTCATACACGAACATTGAGTTCATGAATTCTAATTCCCACATATCGCTCTGCAATTCGAGTTCCTCGTCACCCGACTTTAAAAAAACAAGTCATTGTCAATGACACGTCCCCGTTCCGTTCATATTTGAGTGACATATACATTCAAAGCAGATCATGACCGAAATGCACCTGCATATGTACAACACATTGTGCTAAATCTGAACAAAATCCATCCATGCATGACTGAGATCCGGTTCTGGAATTGTGAAAATACGTGATTTTGATGCATTTTCGGCCTTAAAATGGCCATCATTCCGCTATTGTTAAGCAGATCATGAAACAAATGCACATATCTATTTGTGACATGATGTACCATGTGTGTGTGAAGTTTGAACTTGATCAATCCAGACATGTCTTGGATACGGATCCAGAACTGAATTCTTTAACAAAATGGC